TCAATTCAAAACCTGGAAACAATTTAAAAACAACGAATAGTCTAGTAGCACCTGAAAGACGAACAAAACATGTAGCTGCGATCATGAGATTTCTGGGCACAGCCCACTTCTTCACAGTATCCCAGAAATGGCTCGCCACAAGCCCTCAGAACATGTGCCAGAGCTGAGTGGGTCTAATGTGTCTTTCCCTTATATGGGAGTTAGACATTTTCCTTCCGCGGAACAGCACTTCCCTTTATTGAATTGCTCCTGCTAGTTTTCACGCCAGTTCCCCACATTATCAAGATGATTTTGCATTTTCTTCCTTACCCCCAATGTTCTTACAACCCCTCCCGGCTTGGTTTCACCTGCACATTTTATAACCCTACTCGGTGCGCCAATGTCAACGTCATTAATGAACATAGAGACCAGTGCCCAACGCAGGGCACATCCCTAGACCGTCTTTCCCTCGTTTGCATATGACAAGAGTGTTGCATTGGATTCTCTCAAAAGCTTTCCTAAAATATAGAGCTGGACTACTCAACTTTGGAAGGCCTGGGGGCCACCGCTTATGTGTGGTTGCATATACATGTGAATATATATGCAAATATATGCAAATAGCTTCTTTCACACTGATGGTCATAAATACAAATATTAAGGCAAGACTACACTACACGCAGGCCCCATTTAAGCCAGTTCTGCTCATTGCAATAAAATGCAACATTTCCCCTGATTGCCACCTATATGACAGTACTTTCAATGAGCAATTAAAGCCCTAGAATTTAACTAATAAAACGCATATCAACAGAAGACCATTATATTGACTAATTTTGTTTTGGCTCCCACCCCCAAGCCATGTGTTGATCTCTGCCCATGGGCAGTGTGTTGAGTAGCCCTGATCCTGACCAGGGGTAGCCAACCCATTCTGGATGAAGAGCTAAGATCCAGCGTGAAAAGCCGTGGCAAAAAAAATGGTAGAGAAAAAAAAAGAGTCCCCCCAAAAATGGGAGGAAGGAAGGGAGGGAGGGAGGGAGGAAGGAAGGAAGGAAGGAAGAAAGAAAGACTGGCCCTTTAAGAAGGCTTTTTGGCCTCAGTAGGCTCCCATCTGCAGCCACCCTTTTGGATCCAGACGGTTCCCCTACCCCGGTGAGCACAGAGGAGCTGGGAAACGGGGGCGGCTTTGCGAGCCTTGGGGGCAAGTTCACGAGTCGCACTGACCGGGGGAAGAGCTGCGTGCAGCTCGCGAGCTGCGGGATGGCCACACCTGACCTGGACAAATCACATCTAATACTCTCCTCCCTCATCCATTAGGCTGGCTAGCGTGTTAAAGAGCATGCGAGAGGCACGGCATGGGCTGTTCTTTCAAATCCACGTCCGTTGTGGCATTTCACTGTATTCTTCCCCCGCTGCTTTCAGACTGTCCGATCATTTATTTCAGTGTCTGGTGAGGTATTGAAGTTGGGCTCATTGCTACAGAATTTGCCACTTCCTCTTTGTTCTCTGTTTTCAAAGATAGGTGCAAGGTTTGCCCTTCTCTAGTCCCCGGGACCTCACCCATCCTTTGGGGGAGGGGCTTTATAAGGCAGTGGGCAAGCGACCAAGGAGCTTGCGAACAGGTGATTGCTAACAGGGAGTTTTAAGAGGGAGTTTGGAAGGGGAGAGGGAAGGGCGGGAGGTTCTCTTGTCTTTCTTTCTTTTTAAATCCCTTCTCCTGGACAGCAGCGATGGTTGATGATGTGTCTGCTGCTGTTGTTACCTGCACGGCGTGTGCCATGTTTGTCTTCCTCCCGGAAGAAAGAACGGATTTCATCTGCACCAAGTGCAAGCTGGTCGAGATTTTGGAAGAAAAAATTAGAGGACTGGAGGCCCAAGTGTCGACCTTACGCTTGATCAGAGAGGATGAAGACTTCCTCGATAGAAGGCAGCAATTGATCCTTCAAGCAC